AAGAACAAATAATGCATTTCATCATATTCAAGCCACAACAAATTTTGCGGAAATACGTTTTTCTTTATTAAAAAGATGCCGCACTTGTATCCGTCAGAATGGTGGTCTTTTTGAACATTTATTGAAATAAAGATTTGATTATCTAATTTGTTTTATTTTCATTTTTACGAAAACAATGCACTCTAGAAAAAAAACACAAGTACCTATTTGTAGCGTATTATTTTTAATTTGAAAAATGATGCCACTAATCCTCTCTTTCTCCGCCACTGGTGCACGTTAATTTTGAGTAAAGACTTTTGAATATGGACAATACTTGGGTAAATCCACTTACAAAATTTTAGTTCATTCCAGTTGACGGTTTGGAAGATATTAAACAAAACGTTTTTTATCTTTAAACTTCAACACCCCATATCTGTTCAATGACGGCCTCGAGGATAAAATGTTACATGCAATACCCTCCTTAAAATGCGGTCCTGTGTATGATGATTTTTGGTCACGACTTGTGAATCACAGTGTATAGACTTTTGCTACTCGATCATAATCTTTGTATTCTTCTGGATAATAGACAGATATCATAACACCGCATCATGTTAACGTTAATGCTAACCTCATTTCGAGGGCTCAGTATCAAAAGACGTTTTCTACAATTTTTGTGAAATCGTTATCGTTATTGTGTATGAACCCCAACCTTGACTTAGGCATTGCAATTTAGTTGACACCATATGAACAATAAAGCTTGTGATCAGTATGGTGAATCTCATGCGGTACTGATTTCACAGAAATTTTGGATAACGTCTTTTGACAGCAAGCTCTCGATTCGATCTGTACCTCATATAAACATTGATTCTTCATTATCTACAGAAAACCCAACATTTAAACTGACCCAAACGCGCAGGCAGGGCATCCATGTTTTCATATTGTCCTTCTAATATAATTTCGTACCACCTCTGGTCTAATCATATTAGCAAATTTCCCCGAAATAATTGTAAATTCTGGTTTTATTGGTGCAAGTTGTTCAAGAGGGTACTTAAAACGTGTACGCATAAAAAGGGTACACCAATTTTTGTGGGAATTTTTTTTATTTGAAAACATAATGAGAAAACGTGTTTTTCGGGATTCAATCGAACGTGTTGACAGTAACGAAAAAACTTTTCATATAAGACTTTTAGGTATTTATGAGACCTACAAAATGAGATTACAGGTGAAAAGATCTGACTAATACCAAAAATTTTATGGCCGAAAAGCGCGACAAAATGCAGGTTGGTAATGCGACGATAATTTCACGCAACTACTTGAAATTCTTCAAATCCGTAGGATTCATACTTCTAAATAACAGCAACCATATTGATCAAGTAGTTTTTTGAGAATTTCTAATTGTTATTCCAAAACACCTGTTTTCCGGCCATCACTGCTGGTTTATTGAGCAATATACAGGGTTAGTTCAAAGAGCATTTTATAGCAAAATACACGTGTTTACCTTGCCGACATAAATCGCGAACCAATCCGAAAGATAAATGTTATTTTTATAACAAAGGTTACGTTTTTTTCTTCTAAACAAATTCAAACATTTCGTATTTGTGTGTAATTGAACAAATGCGCCGCGAAAAACTTACATAACTATACACATTTTAAAACAAAGCGCATGTGTCTATCATATTTTGTTGTGAATTACTCATAAGTACGAAATGTTTGAATTTGTTTAGAAGAAAAAACGTAACCCATCCCTTTTTGCATAAAAATAACATTTATCTTCCGTAATGGTTTTGCGATTCATATCGGCAAGGTAAAGTAGTGTATTTTGCTATAAAATGTACTATGAACTAACCCTGTATATTGCTCAATAAACTAGTAGTGATGGACGGAAAACAGGTGTTTTGGGATAAACAATTAGAAACTTTCAGAAAAATACTCAACCAATCTACTCCAGTTTTGTTGTGGTTATTTAGGAGTACCAATCCTACAAATTTGGAGAATTTCAAATATCTTCGAGAAACCACCATCGCATTACCAACAAGTACCAAAACCTTCAGTTTGCTTCGGTTTTCGTCCATAAATTTTCTGCTATTGGTCGGATCTACGTGTGGTCTCGTTTTGTAGGTAAAAACCTAAAAATCTTATATAAAGAGTTTTTTCGTTCCTGCCAATACTTTTGATTGAATCCCAAAAAACACGTTTTCCCATTCTTTGTTGTCGAATAAAAAGTTTTCCCACAAAAATTGGTGTACCCATTTTATGGGTCCATGTTTTGAATAGCCCCTTGAACAACCTGCAGCAATAAAACCATACTATACAATTATTTCGCAAACCAGGGGTATTTTCGTCTAATATGATTAAACTACTCAGGCATGAATTGTTAACGTTGTTCTATATTTACTGAATCCGATTTATACGGGGGTCTATTTTCAAGAGATTTCTGAAATTTAGATACTTGATGGTGGCCAAATAACAAAGACTATATATTTTTTCTTTTTATGTTCTTCTAATAATGAAGCAATAATAACAATAGAGCCTTTATTGCCCAACAGTACAGGTACCATTTAGAGAGCAATACATAGTACAATGGTTTGATTCACACACATTACACAATCTGTGAGCCATAAAGTGCAACAAAAAAACACACAGAAAGGAGGAAGGCGCTTTAAGTAGAGAGAACAGAAACTATAAATATGATTAATAGATATTAGGAAACCAGAATATACTCGTATATTCATACATATACACATACATACACACATATACATACATATACATATATACACACACACACACACATATATACAGGGTGACTTCGAAGTTGAGTCATTTATTTTAACAGTGAGTAGATCTGATCGAAAGAAATGTTTTTTCCTTTAACATTTTTGTGGTAAAATTAAAGTAACAAAGTTATAGCCCTTTAGAAGTTTGAGTACCGCCCTGTCTCAATAATAATATTATGTGCTCATGTTTGGCAACAACGGATATAATCCGCCTTATCGGTTCATCGCATCGGAAACAAAAAAGCGAAAGAATCTGAAACGCTTATCACGATGTTTTATTCATTTATTTTATTCAGTTATATTTTCTCAATGTGTGAGTCGGTAACGCGTGAGTGAATAGTGGAGTTTGTTGCGTGGCTCAAATGAAATAAAAAATGGCACATGTTTATGAAAAGTGAGTCTTTACAAAATGCTGCCGCGGCATCACGGATTTATGGGGATCGGTTTCCCAATCGAGTGCAACCAACCCCTCGTGCCTTTGTTAATGTAGCACAAAGGGCTCGTGAATCAGGTGACTTAAGACCTCACAGGGGAGGGCATGCCGGTGCTCCAAGACCGCACGATCAAATACAGGTCCGCACTGAAATACTTGTCGGGAGGATACTTTATAAAACAAGGTAACATTTTTTTTTCATTTTTTTTTTATTTTTACACACATATTTTGGTTTATCTTCCTTCTACAATCATTATCTGAAAATTAATGACTCAACTTCAAAGTCACCCTGTATATATATGTATATATAGCCATGTAATGTTCACACATAAATATATAACAAACGAAAACCTCTAGAGAAAGGCGTAAAAAAAGTCAAAGGTATGAACGTATAGCACGTCGTAATTCCTGAAATCCACAACTGAAGATATCACAAAAGCTCACAATCCTATTCGCATTATTTCACATAAAGTTTACTGGTGCTTTAGATACAAGATTTGTCTGCGCCCTCTTGCAGAAAAAGGAAACTTTATATTTAGATGTCAATCTAGGTACCAGGAAATTAATTTGCGATAGCAAAACAGGACAGGCGATGTTACCATGCAGCAATTTGTATAAAAATATGATGGACGCCTGATTTCTGCGCTTCTCCAAAGACGGGACGTGAAATCTGTCCAATAATAGTGAGTAGTCATATCCTCTTGGAGGATAGACACCATCACTCCTATAGCATACATATTTTAGAAATTTCTTTTGCACTTTTTCAACATTATTTTTGTACAGTTCATAGATAAGACTCCAAATAATTCTTCTAAAATAAAGATGATATACTCTCGACCGTTCGACCAAAGAGAGCCAACCATGGACAGCTGCTTCATGTTTCTTGGCTCCACATCATGGTCTCGACTTGGGTCTCTCGGATAACGTACAAACGCATAACAACTATACACTACACAAAGTGTGTAATGAATGCGCCATCCTTCGTTAGAATCGGCAACTGGGAAATCGCAGCTAAACGGTTAGGACTATATAGTTCTCAGCCTCAGGTTCTTGAAAAATTGTATTGTTTGATCGTTTGTCTTGATCCTTGAATCATCTTTTAAGCTCAAATTGTCTAGTCCCCACGAATAGTAAGAAGTTCGTGAGATTATCTGTATACGTCACGTCAGAAATCCCATGTTGATTATCAGTATTTTTGTTGCAGGACCGGAGCAGTTTTTTTGGCAGTGGAAGTGCGTTTAGTGAACTGTACAATGTTTCAACAGGCAGATCTCAGGACAGTATTCAAGATAGTTCAAGTAGGTTGAGAGACAATAGTGAGGTTGACGTTAAAGGCTCGACAGGTGAGTGCTCAATATACATAGCTTATAATAGCATCCAACTCTCCACTTATCTATAATCATTGATTGACGTATTCTATCTGAAGATAGCCAACCTCATACTATATTCGCGCGTCTGAAAAATCATCCGAAATGAAATGGAATACCGTAGGGTCATACATGAAATTTATCCTAGCTTTGTTTCTCCTTTTCACAATGATTAAGAATACGTTAATCAATGCTAGTACTCAAGGCCATCTGTCACGATACGAAATTCTTGTATTTGTAATAAATTTCGTATAGAATCATGCGCATTCGAGTCCAAAGGACTATATTTCTGTAAACTTAGAACCGTCATTTGTCACAAAGTCAAACATATATTCTAACCACACTTTTCGTAGCGCTTTTGACCGGATATCTTCATTTCAGTATTACAGCCAGCTCATTAGTATTTGTTAAATTACTATATTACTGCTGGTATGAATTGCTTATCCCAAGTCCAGACTCATGATTGGCGTCTCTGTACAGCTGAAATGCGCAGCACACCTTAAGTGTCAAATTATTTAGAACAGATTACAAAAATTTACACTAAGTCTGTACATAAAAAATATGTATAGGGTGTGCCTTATGCTGCCAGACACCATCCTTAAGTTTGTACGAAGCTTAGCGTACTAGATTCGGCACAATATTTCTATATTATAAAAATTACGTCCAGAAGTGACATGACAACATCTGAAGTTGGTTTCTGATTACCTATGATATGACGAATTAGCTGGCAAAGAATTGTCGAACTCATGCGTTAATGGCAAGCTTGTACTTGACCTTGACAAGATCATTTGCAGATTAATCCCAATTGAACAATTTTGTGTCAAGTTTGGATTCGAAAGGACTGCGGGATACTTTGTCAACTGGGCGAAAAAGTACTCGCTTTAATACCGTAAAGTTTAATGTCTTGAAGAATACTGACATATGTATATGAAGTTTATTCTGATTTTTCTTACTCCATATCTTCCTGAGTAGCACAATATTTATTGTGTATTTTCGTTCTAGTTTTACAAAGGAGGTATGACAGCGCATAGGTCACTAGCACTAGACCAAACGCTCCGATGGTTATAAATGACGCTGTGGAAGGTTTACTCCAATCGAGGACCTTGTAGATATATGGCTCCCCCTTGCTAAAAAAAGGGCGATACATTAGTAAACGAATGAAAAATGGCGTCACTTAGGTCGACTGCACTTTCCATGCAGCGCTGTCATTTGTTAATGTTCGGCACAAGTTAGTCATTCTTACAAAGACAGATAGATAAATTTGCTTTACTGTCTCAAGAATACAATCATTCTTATTGACAAAGCTAACTTAAAATTAAACAAAACTACATAAATATATCTCAACTAAATGAATTGTAAAACTCATACATAGTATAGTATAGTTTACAAATAAGTAAGTTTTTAAGTCCACGGCGAAATATCGTTAAAATGTTGATTATTTTGATATCATCAGGGAGGCGCATGTAAATTTTCAGACCATTTTAAATGATTGAGTCTCTCAGAACTGTTGATTTAGGTACTACTAATTTGAGAGATTTCGCCTAGTATTGTGACTATATTTGATGAAAATTTGAATTTGCTTAAAAAAGTAAACAATGATACAACAGTTATAGGATTCCTTTTAATTATTATACCTAATAGTACTTTGGAGAGAATTATCACTTTTTTAAACAATTTTTGGAGCATACACGCCAAAAGTCAATGCTATATCTCAATCTATTTCCAAATAAAGCAGAGTAACTGCTAACGGCTGTGCTTTTCTATACATTGTAACTAATTGTTCTTATAATAAAATTTAATGATGTATAATTTGTGTATCAAATCATTATTTAGATTCATAAAATCAAGAGAGCACTTAAATGTCATAAATTTGGTCTTACTAACATGGAAAGCTGTCACAGCACTTTTTGAGTGATTGTATACCACGGTCAGTTTTTGACCTAATTTTATCTATATCCGTGACCTGTCAAAGTATTCTGGTATCGTCAGCAAAAACTATGAATTTACCCATTTATTAAATCATTAATAAATAGGATCAGACTTGGTATTGATCCTTGAGGTACCCCTGCTTTTATATTCAATCCATCTGAAGTGTAATATGTTGATACTCTTACAATTCGGGATCGATTATTTAAATAAGTTTAAGTCAACTGAGTGGAGTTCAAGTACAATCATATTTGCTTAATTTTTTCAATTATAAATCATGATTTACACAATCAAACGTTATGAAAAAGTCACAAGAATGTGCAATTAGAATCTGTTTATAGTTTAAATTTGAGTATAGCTGTTGTAGGAATATGAAAATAGCATCTAAATTATCTTTTTTTGTTTTCTCAAAGCCAAAGAAAGCCAGTTAACCAGACTTCAACTATTTTGTTTAAACTTGTGAAGAAAGCTAACTACGACATGTATATCAGCTGTGGCATGCTGTTCTCTTATGCAAACTTCCATCCCATGACCTCCCAGAGAAGCTGTGCGGATGAAGGCTGACGCCTCGCTGGCCGTCGTAAATGACGGGTTCTACTCTCCATTCTATAATGTCAACGCGGGTGTTCTCCAGCTATCGGTCTTGTCTCCAATATTGTGTCTATTACACATCTGCGACCTCATCTCCTGTACGATCAATCTGACTCACAGATTGGCTAATGACAGCACTCTGCATGCATAAATTCGGAGTGTAAGTCGATCTCTGCTGGTGAGCTCGAGAGAAAAAAGACTAGCAAAGACCTCCTCTGACAAGAGATCTGGAGGTTACCTCTGCTTGGAACACAATTATCTGGCACAGATAAATGATAACGAAACACAGTACTGTACCACTAACAGGAAGCACCGCAACGCTCATCCGGCTTAGATGGACGGCCGAGTTCTATCAAAGAGCCGTTCATTTCGGATGGTCGCAGTATAGAACACCTAGAGGTTGTTCTAGCATGAACACTTCTCGTATTTTTGTTTAGGGCTGTACAAAGCCCAGATAAGACATAGCTTCGAGTACTGCTCATATGCTCCGGGTGCTGCTGTCATGAATATATTGTCCATGCACGATGCTGTTCGGAGGAGGGCTGTCCGACCGATCAGTGACACTTCTTCAAGGGACGGTCTTGAAACACTTTCGTACCGACGAGCCGTCGCGTCGGCGATATGACTCTCTTCTACTGCTATGTCTGCAGGCTTTGCTCCTCAGAACCCTCCTCTACAACGCGGCGTTCCAGACAGACCAGTCAGACTCCGAGCCTTACCATGTCCAACTTTGTACATCCAGAACTGGTCGATACGAACGCTCCTTTGTTCCTAGGACATCGAGATTGTAGACCAATCTCCTGGAGGTATTTCCCAGTTCTACTAACCTCAGGCAACTGAAAAACCTCCTTATAGCAGTCACTGTGCCCCGATATTTAGGCTCCTGCCAACGCGACCGCGTCGGTTTCAAAAATCAAAGGAATTAAATGAATCAAGATGGTCAAACAGGTACATACAGTTAATCCCGAAACAGTAATTATGGTGGAAACCGGAGCAATTGAAGAAGAGAAAAACCAATATTTCCATATGTCTTGAAAACCACTGATTGGCAAAGTAGACAACCTTGTACAAAGTTAAATTTATTTTCAATACTCACTACGATGAATTTACAAAAAAAGGTCGGGGGTATTGGGCTTCTTAAAATCCTATTTTCATGATATTTTTTGACTTTATTAGTTGTTACACCTAAATCAGGAATAAAATTTACTAAAATATGTCCTCTACTATAAGAAAGCCGTTAGTAATCACAAGGCGATGACAAAAAAACGAGAAAAAATTGTTATAATTTATCGGCCTGCATTGTCGTTGTCAAAAGCAGTTGAACTAAAGTATAAGATGACATATGTGTACTATTTTTAAAATCCCAATGTCTAATATACATGATGTTTTATTTAAAATAATCAAGTTGGTATTTACTTCCGATACGGCCGGAAGTGTCACCATTTAGAAAATATTTTAACCGAGTCAATCAACCCAAGTGTGGGATATGAAACAATGACAAACTCAAATAATACTCACGCAGTTTTTCCACCTGCAAAGTAATACACAACAGTGAACGTGGCATATATCCCTCCAAATAATATCGGATAAATGAGATGTGCCCATTTAAACGGGTGAGACACCATAAAACTGTCAATGAGCATCACGAGAGAGTTATTGGCGTGGACAAAGTAGAGGTTAACGTCAATAGGAAAAAGTTCAGCTAAAAAGTAAAATATTCCATTAAACTAGATCAATTAAAAAATACTTATTGATACTAGTACAAATGAGAAAGCAAACAAGTGATACGGGGCGTTCTAGCGATCGAGGGCAAGGCCGCCAGTGTATGTAAAAATCTGGCTAAGATTTAAAAGGCGAAGTTTTGAAAATAAATTAAAATACGTTAAAGCTAATATTTTGCACAATAAGTTGGCCGAGGAATTAGAACTTTGCTTACACTACCTTTGCCATGACAGACTATTAAAGTTGGTGTATCATTTACTTTTTAACGGCCAAACTGGAAAATTTCTGTGTCGTGTGTTCAAAATATTTGAGCTTCTGAATATGAATCATAATGGACTACGGATCTTTAAAACTTGTCGTATTGGTTCTTGGAATCGTTGTGTCTGTATAGCAAGTCAACTTGTCTTTAAGCACACTTAAAGTTCGCTTTAATGTCGCTTCTAGGATAGAATTTTAAGGAGTCGGCTAATCAAGTTCAACCTCCTGTTATATGTTTCTTCAGTCGGTAAGTTCAATTCATAAGTTAGTTGACCTCCATGAAGCCGATTGAAAATCATTTTAAGGTTACTTCGTATTAAGATTCAGTAGAAGTAGTCGAGCATAAGGGATATCAATTACGTGTCTTGTAGATGTTTGTGGTCATCGGGTCCAAATACGAGGTCAGTTTATCTCTGTGATTGCATTGAAGATCGTCTAGAGTTATACATGAAAATTTAGAGAAAGTCAAACAGTCCAGCCCAGCTAGGTATATGTGACATAGGTCGACGAGTTCGAATCAGAAATCAATTTGTTTGTGTGAGTGCATTGGAAGATCGTTTTAAAGTTTTTTGAAGAACGAATTCAAAACAAATCCAGCAATCGAGTCCAAGCATTTATCCAATAGTTTTTGTGGTCGTAGTCTCAGCTCATGGTGCATTTACATTTGAAGGTCATTCCATATATTGAAAAAAAGTTCATTTCATTAAGAACAACTCGAGCAGTCGTGTCTAGGTTATGGGTCAGTCTGAAGGACTGCGTAGTCTTTTGTTATGTTTCTTTCCAATCTTCAATGGTTTATAAAATAGAAAATAAATACGTCTTACGTTCGTAGACAGCACACCAAAACAATGCAGTGATGAGGAATGCTATGGGTGTAGCTATAGTATTTGTTAACCAATAGACTGGATACATCTTCAAACATCTATCCCCGGCTTTGGTGGATACATAACTGGCTAACAGCATGATGGCAGCAATTACTGCTTGTATCGTGCTCAAAAGATAACCCCAATGTGTTAAATAGATCAGCCAGTATGTAAAACATATGAAACGATCACGAGTATAACCCTCAAGGATTATTGAGTAGCCACATGTTACTAGGAATAGGAGTGCTACTATGACACGGTAGATGAGGTACTTGAGGTTGGGCACTGATTTGTCCGTCTGCCACTGTAAAAAACATTATATTATCTGTAAATATTTTTCTAACAGGAACATTTGACACACTATTTGTTTCTCAACACTGTACATCTGTTGACGAATATATGAATAAAATAAAATTTTGTATTTCAATTGGATCGCGGTTCCGTCTTCGCCTTCGATATTTACCCAGTCTTCATCAATTAATCGCGATGGAAGGTTTTTTACTTTGTGCTATTAGGGACTAAAAATTCTATGTAAAAGGGTAAGAAGAATATACTGATTGAGACGAATTGAGTACGCCTTCTTGTGTTCCTTGCTTTTTCACCTGTTCTCATTTTGTTGTCTTGAGCTCCCTTCTTTAATTTTTCTGCGTCATGCATCCCAGGGGTTGAGAGTCTAGTTAAGGTGATACAGTTGTTATGTTAGTAGGTTCTTTGCACTCTTTTAAACCTCGTAGATGGGAATTTCCTCCCATTTGAGGTCTTTGACTGCAGTTGAAAATTATATGATCAAGGCTGCCATATTTGCCATGGATGCAATTTGCAGTTCCTTCTCGAGACCAATCGTATATAAGTGTACTGTGACACAACCTTAAACTTTTTTCAGAATCTGTCAATATCAAAATGCCAGTCAAGGTGTAGTTCACGATCGAACAACTTTTGGATATTATTAAAAATTATTCACCGAAATTTGAAGATTACTCCAAAAGTCAAATGATTCACTATTAACGATGCTGAGTGAGATAACGCATCTGCGCAAGTACCGAGAAGATCACAGCCGTAAATGCTTTAGTCCAAAATAAGCTACATCAGCAGGAGTTGGAAATCTCTCAAGCCATATTGTAACGAACCAGTGCCAATAACAGAACAAAAAAAAAATATTGTAACGAATTTTGCGTAAGTCTTACTTCAGATGACGTGCGACTGACGCGGAACGCCTAAGGCTCGCTTTGAAAATGCACAGAATCAATGTTCACATGGAAGCACACCTCAGAAGTTAGAGAGTATCTCTTCTAGACGTTCCCATTGCTGTTTAGTTGACGCTATTTTTCGTAGGGTTCACTCGACGTACCAGGTGTGTCTTTTGCTTTCACGTATGGTACTGGACTGGAAACAGGAGAATTCAACATATATCTTTTCATTGGGGGAATTTGAAAGAGGCCTACGATTTCGGGCTTGCGTTCCAAGTTATACTCAAATAAGATGGCAAAAGACCACCTGACTTAATTTTTTGCAAATCCGATGATACAGAAGAAAGGAGAAAATTTTAGGTATGTGTGCTCTAGATTCTTCATTGATGACCAGTTTTTACAATGGAGACCATAATTCAAATCATTTCATCCTGCCATTCTAGTTTGTACAATACATATTGCTTCAACAATGCTTTCTGTGAATTCTATGTTACCATACACTGTGCGATGTGATATTCGCGATTTGTTACCCTACTGCGTTTGTCTCGGCTGCAATATCATCCTTAATGATGTATAGTAAGTTATCAAACGGTTTTATTGGCGTAGTTGAAACGTTTAATGTAAGGTATATAAGGGGTGATTTTTTAAGAGGTATAGGATTTGATTTTCAAAAAAACACAAAAAACTTGAAAAAACGATTAAATCTTCATTTAAGATTATTTCATGTAAATGTTGGCCGCGGCTCCGCTTTAGATAGCCCATGCGCAAGGTCCAATTTTGGCACACTCTCTCCAACATATCGGCGGGTATCTCACGAATAAATGCTTCAATATTGGCTTCCAGTGCGTCAATCATCGCTGATTTATCCCTGTAGACATTAGCCTTAACATGGCCCCACAAGAAATAGTCCAACGGCGTTAAATCACACGATCTAGGGGGCCAATTAACAGGCCCCAAACGTGAGATAAACTGTTCACCGAGCTCGCCTCTCAATAGGGCCATTGTTTCATGTGCGGTGTGGCATATGGCACCGTCTTGTTGAAACCACATATCAGCCAAGTCCAGCTCTTCCATTTTGGGCAAAAAAAAGTTTGTTATCATCGCACGGTAGCGCTCGCCATTCACAGTTACGTTCCGGCCATTGTCGTCTTTGAAGAAGTACGGCCCGATGATGCCACCGGCCCATAATCCACACCAAACAGTGATTTTTTCGGGATGCATTGGTAGCTCTTGCAATGCTTCTGGCTGGTCTTCACTCCAGATGCGGCAATTTCGCTTGTTAACGTACCCATTCAACCAGAAATGAGCTTTGTCGCTGAACACAATTCTTCGATAAAAATGTGGATCTTCCTCCAACTTTGCCAGCGCCCATTCACCAAATTGGAAACGTTGTGGGAGATCGTGGCTTCAACTCTTGCAACAGCTGTATCTTATAAGGTTTTACACCCAAATCCTGTCGCCAAATTTTCCACGTAGTGGAACAGAGGCCTAATTGCTGCGAACGGCGGCGAATCGACATTTCACGGTCATCACTAACACTGGCGGATACAGCCGCAATATTTTCTTCAGTCCTCGCTCTACGTCTGCGTGTTGGTGGTTTAATGCCCAATAATGTAAACTGGGTTCGAAATTTAGTCACAAGCTTCCGAATAGCTCCCTCAGTAGGTCGACCAAATTGCCCATAAATTGGAAGCAGTGCTCGATGCACTCTCTTAACCGAGCATGAATTTTGATAGTAAAATTCAATATTTGCAAGCGTTGTTCGTTCGTAAGTCGATTCGTGGTTAAATTATGGACCAAACTGAACAAGTTTGATAATGACACAAGACACGATTCACGCGTCATCTGTCAAAAACAGTGTTGGCAAAAAGATACTAGCAAAAAATCATCCATTACAAGCACATATTAGCTTCTTCCATATCCATTCGCGTAGATAACCACAATAAACTGGCTGTCGACTACCTAGTCTCACCGTACATAAAAGTTGTACGAAGTTATCTGAGGTGCCTTATTACGTAACAGAAACATTCTTGGCGACTTACAGGTTTATTGCTTTTTTATCAACTTTCCTCCAATATTTTCAGAATCATAGAAATTCTGAGAAATACGCCATTTTTCCCGCAGCTAGATAGAAATTTTGCGTACTTTCTCCGGAAAGCACACTCATGCTATTTTCAAGCAGTTTAAGGTGTAAACAGTGCTCCTCAACAATTTGAAAATGTAAATTTGTGCAATTTTTCTCCAATGGACACGAAAAAACGAGTTACCGATTTTTTCAGACGCAAAATGAAATTCTTTACAATATTATCTGCCACTCCAAAATTGAGGAAAAAACTCATGAAAATAAAACTAAATGTTGTCTAATTGGAAATACGAGGTATAAATATTTATGCGTTGTTGACCATTTACGATTTCTAAAAAGTCGAACGTAACCTCCCCCCCCCCCCAAACCTATGGGCCCCATCCAAATTCAACTTCTATATACGCCACTGATCTGGTCGAACGGCCACCTCATTCATGCGACTTGAAGGCAGATTGGATCTCTTATTAAGGGGTTATCTAAGATGGTTGGCTTATGCCAACAAAGTAACAACGTTAGAGCTTAGGAACAATACCGAATGCAAAATTTCCAACGTTCCGGTAGATTTGTGTGAAAGAAATAAAAAATTGGTTTCATAGAATCGATGTCGACATGTTTACCGCATCCGAAATAAATTTCATCCCAATATCTCAACTGTCATGTATTTTAATCAAATATAAAATGGGCATGCCCTTGAAAAGCTCTCTAAGGGCTATTTGAGATCCTGATGCGCAACTTCATATACCATTCTAAAGTCGAGAGTTCATAAACGCGACTTTTTGTATGTTCTGGATAAATATGTAGTTCCTGAATCACAAAATCAAATACAACAGACAACTTTAGCAAGCTCATACTATTTTTGTCTTGCATAACAAGACAAATGCCCAATTTTAAAATCGAAAAAGTAATATTTTTTACAAAGAAATAAATTTGCGATAGCTATCAAGAAAACTAATGATTATAGATCCGAAACATCTCATCTTACCTGGCATGTTATAAAAACTGTTGGGTCATCATGTGTTAGAAGAAATTGTTGAAATGTACAATTGGACATAACACATATCTGGTTTTGTAAACATCACTTGTGATTTGGAGATGACAGTATATTTTGAAGTTCTTGCACTGGTTTTTCCTAACCAACTTTGACACGTCTGCGATGACGTTTTTTCTTGGAAAGACAGAATTTTCAACCTTCGTTTATAAAGATGAAGTCGGATACGATAAACTTAAGGCAAATATTTGAGGGGTGATTATTCGAAGTATTCTACGACTATGTTATTCTTCGACTAATAAAAACACATGAAAAGCTTTTTAGTCTTAAGCAACTGTTCAAAACGTCTGCCTTCAAGCAGACTGCAAGAGTTTTATCCCTGTCACATGCATCAGGGTTGTTTTTTACCGAGTTCAAAATAGAGGTGCCTAGATATTCTGAACCAGCTTAGGATATTGAAAAGACTCGTATATAATTTTCAAAAAAAAAGAGCCCTCAACTGGATGCCTCTCCTACAGTCCCCGATGTCACTGATTCTGCATTTCCTAAAACCGGAGTTTTAATAACGGATATTATCAAGTGGGAAAGTAGCTTCTTACCTGTTTGATTTTGAGTTTCGATATTAAGAAAAGTTTTTGCGCAAGTTATCCTTCATATCTATATAGGGTGCTCCTAAAGGTATACATTTGGTTTACAGAGCATATAGACCAGGCAATAATAGTCAAGTTTTCTTAGTAATACGTATATCAAAGCTTTGAGATTACCGAGATATTAAGTTCTGCAAAACACAAAATACGCCATTCCGACTCTGCCTCCCTCCCTTCGTACTACAAAGAGGTTTTGTGGTACTACGGGTACGTGAGTCAGTATCCAAATAGGGCGCCGCACGGTGTAAGGGCTAACCTAGTCATAGACAAATCGCATTTGAAAACCGAAATTGGTAGATTCGTACACCAATAACGTAGTGATCGATTTGATGTTAGTTTACTCTGAGCGTCTTCAAAATCCTGTCGATGTTCCTTCGGTGTATTCGAGTATTCAGAACGATGCTGTCATCCTTAATATTTACCATCAGCGCTGCGAGGGTTTGTCCGTATCGTGCAAAAAAGTCGAGGTATATACGGCGGAAGACCTAAACAGACCCAAATGTTGCGGATTTAGGAAGAAGTGAACAACTTCATGTTATTAAATCAAACAGTGACAACTTCAAGCAGTAATTGCAAGCAAAACATATGAAAAGGCCGTACTTGGAATACCGTTAAAATAATTAGTGATTATTTTTTCAATTTCTTTTTCTCGTTTCTGGTGCTTTTTTACAACAAATTAACTTTGTTATTCCAAACGCAGTTGTTTCTGAAGATGAAAGTCCCAGCTTTCAGGACACCCTACTTCGAATAATGAAACTTTTGATTTAAGTCGCATGGGCCCGAACACTATCTATTTGAAATCTCCTTCGAAGTTCGGAAAGAATAATGAAAAAAACTAACAAAAAGGTCCTTCTAAAACGACTAAAGCAAAACAAGAAGTGTAGGATTTTTGTCGCTAAGGAATTAAAAACTGTGTACTTGTTTTAAAATATATTGTGTCATTTCGCCAAAAATAGAATCTCAAGTATGTTGTGCTTTTTGACAATCTTTTACTACGGTCCGATTAAACAATCGGGGATATATAAGGTTTTTGGAAATTATGTTTTAATAATTATTTCTTACTATAATTGTAAGTGTAAATGATGTTTAAAACACCAAAGTGAATGTCACGCTTTTAAAATACATATTTTAGCTAATCTCTATCATTTTAAAAACCAATAACAACATGAGGGTCCGATTTTGGGTATTTACTTTTCCTAATTATAACTTCTTATTCTAGACACTTTTGTTACTCAATATATTCATAAGTTTCATACGAACAACTTTTTGACAAATCAGCAAAAGATAAAATGGGCCAACAGGTCAATCCAGAAAGCCTTTTCCATTTTTTTGAACTACTTTTTTTATTAGCTCATCATTTTATGCGTTAAAATTAAAGTTAGTTTTATACGAGGTTAACTATTTCGCGAAATAATTTTCAAGACATGGAAATACTGTTTTTTTCTTTTGTTTAAATGCTCCACACAGTTTTTACCATAAGATAATTTTAGTTGGAGAATTAACTCTATGGGGCTACTTGACTAACTTGAACCATTTCATTTTTTTGTTTTTTATACCGAAGCAACGGCGTCGTCAGAAGCCTAAATACCGGGACATCGCGACTACTATTCTTAAAGACCTGCCTAATGTAAGTAGAACTGAGAAACTAATCACCCTCACTTAGATTGTTCCACAATCTCGATACCATAGGTATAGGCCAGTTCTGGATGTATAAAATTCGACACGCTACTATAGAACGATGTGGTGAAGGAATGGATTATTTTGTATCTTCTCCCACTGTGTCCCCAATATTTTCAAATAGTCACAAGAGGCCTCTTAACAGACAAAATCGATATTTCCTGGCGACAGCTATGATGTATTTAAATCCCTTGAATGCCCTGTCAAAATGTACACCAGCTTACGATGCTCAAACTTGCTTGCTCCTATTGGCCAGTAAACCACAAATGCCTGGACGTGGCAGCGACAAGGGAATAGAAGCATCGATGCTCATATTTGTTTTGACGGGGTGCAAATGGGATTGGAACACATTGTAGAACCCTTAAGAGTTCATGTCAATCACTACTTGTAATTTCGGAAATAAAATATTTTTTTAAAAAGGCACTTACGCAAACTTGAAATATAAGTTGTATCTAAAATTCTTCTTTAATGTATACGTTTGGGTTACAACGGTGACCTTCTGCATGACTGGTTTTTGGCAATGTTTGATTTATCTGTCTTCCAGGTGGCACTCCGTTTATTTTTCCTTTTCATTCTTAGATTCCTATGTAGTGTGTTACTATAGAAGCCTGAAAGGTCGGTAACATGCCCAGATTCCGCGAAGCAATTACTCCAGTATAGCATTTTTAATATCATCTTAAATTAGAATACAGTATTTGCACATCAATAAATTTAAACACAGTAAATGACCCGTACTTCCTGTAGCCATACAGATAGGTACTATGTTTTCATTTATAACCAAAGCAATGGCAATAGAAGGTACTATAAGAGATACACGTAATCACACAGAATTCATAATATTTTTAATTACATTTCGTCGGTCATTTAGTATATTTGTAAGGATACTGTAAAACTTTTTTAAAGGTTTCGTATACTATAGATATATACGATGAACTTGCGATAAATAACATCGCGTAGTACTGTGTTATTAGTCAAAGAGACAGCAGTTCAGACAATTCTGGAGTAACAGTATATGCTTTTTTTCGTTAATATACTAAGTGACATATAAATCCGAACACCCCCCTAAATACATCTCATGTATTTTCGCTAGGTAGATCTGATGTGATCATTCTCGTTGTTAAATTTATCAGGAATTCTGGCATCAAAATATAACAATCGTATTTTAGTTATCCTCTGTTTTTTGTACCTTTATGTATAAATATATCCTTCATATCCGTGGCCTAATTGTTGTATGTGAAAAATGAAAAATGCCCTGACGGGTCCCTGGGCGAGAAGAACGTGTGTCCCTGTCTGACCCATCCTCTCTCCTACCCCTTAGAGTTGCATAGGTTTAATATGTAGTTATGGTGTCCTTTAGACACTAATGTCATCTGAAAATTTGTGTGTAATGCTTAACCCCCGCCCCCTCCTGATAACACTTTCTTAGTTCTTCTATATTAACTTTTTTGTTTTTCATCCAGAGTGGAGAGTGTGCATTAGAAGAAATTTAATAATCAATTTCGCCCTACTGTTTGTTAAGTACTTGCTCCTTCGCCCAAATACGACTGTGTCACCAAAATGTCTTTCCTGCAATACCCTGATAGCTGAGGGGATCTGCTTGCTACGTCATTGTCATTTTACACCTCTTAAATTATATATGTGTGTATGATATAATAGATAAATACTTGATTCTGGCTAATGGGGCAATGTCCTAGTGCCAAAAAAAAAAAACATCCTTTACGATCGGTTACGATGCCTAGAGTACGGAGACCTGTACGATTTCGTCAACTTAGTGAGTTTGATAGGGGCCGTATAGTGGGACTTCGGGAAGCTGGACTTTCTTTTCGGGCAATTGCAGTTATAGTGCAAAGAAGTGTAGACACTGTGGTTAGGTGTTGTCAGGCATGGCTTCGAGAAGGCCGTACGCAAAGAGCAAGGGGCACTGGACGCCGCCGTAGAACAACAGACCGTGAAGATCGCCGCCTAAGATTATTGGCCTCAAGGGACCGTTTCTCCTCTACCAGGTCCATTGCAAAAGAATGGTTTGCAGAACACGGAAGACCTATTGGCATGCGAAGTGTTTACCGACGAATGAGAAGTTTTGGCTTGTTTTCATACCGGCCACACTGGGTCCTCCCTTTAACTCGAGAACACCGACGTAATCGCCTTGAGTGGTGCAGACAACGGTCACTCTGGGATCACGAATGGAACAGTATTGTCTTTAGTGACGAGTCTCGATTTTGTTTAGGCATGCACGATGGTCGTGCCAGGGTTAGAAGGCGACGTGGTGAAAGGAGGAATCCACAGTTTTTTGTTGAAAGACATGTTCATCACACTGTTGGAGTTATGGTTTGGGGTGCTATAGCTTATGGTTCCAGGTCACCTTTAATCTTTATCAGAGGTAACATGAACGCGCAGCGTTATATCCACGAAGTTCTAGAACCACATCTTTTACCCTATCTTGACACCCTGGCAGATCCAACTTTCCAACAAGATAATACCCGACCACATGTTGCAAGAGTCACAATAGACTTCTTTCAACATAATGATGTCACATTGTTACCATGGTCAACAAGATCTCCCGACTTATCCCCAATTGAGCACGTGTGGGATATGATGGGTAGGAGATTGCTCAATTTGCAACTTCCTCCTCAGACTCTAGAAGCACTTCGAGAGGAGTTGGTGGTTGCCTGGAATGAGATACCACAGGAGGACATTGACCACCTGATCAGAAGCATGCCTAGGCGCGTTGGAGAATGCGTAGCACATCAGGGTGCATCCACACATTATTAAAGGTCAAAGGGCTTTAAAGCAGTGCAATCATTTTGAAATTTTTATCATTTACTTA